GTCATATTTTGGGACTTACTGAAAACTTAGTGTTCAATTTCTTGGGATTGTTAAATGGTGAATGAATTTCCAGTTGTTTGGGGAAGATGGGAGAACCAGTAAACATTTTACATTTTCAAAAATATGATGGATTTGAATAATTATATATATGTATCTCTTATTGATCTGTGACTGGTTATTTTAGTTATGAGTTCCTTTCTGACCTCTGTCAGTAGAGTTTGCGTGCCTTCCAGAATGGTGCTAGTCATGAGGGGGACTTTGTAATATGATTGGGTAGGTGGAAGCATATCACCTTGCTGTTAAGAACAGCTCAGTGGATAATTTACTGGATGTACATGTTTGTCCTAGACTGTGGATAACATCATTAATTTAAATTAATGTATTTCCAAAATAGCCTTAGCCAATGGTTATCTCTCAGAGGAAGGATTCTAGAGTTGGACTTATTGATCTACTTGAAATAGCATGTAAAATTTTATATGTATGGTATATTTTTTGATGAAGAATCCCCCGTAGTTTTTACTAGCTTTTAAAAGGGGTACCTGCCTGAAAGTAAAAATTTAAGAACCACTGCTTTAATGGGGAGGTATTCAAATCCATATCAGATTTCCCCCTCCCCTACTTTCACTTAAATAACCACATTTTCTAAATGTTACATCACAAGTTTGATGTTCTATAGAAAAACATCACAAAAAAGAAAAGTAATATATTTATTGCATCCCTAGAAATATTACAGGATCACATTGCGATTTTTTTGTGGCTTAGGGACCTTTTATGCCATTGTATGACCCACCTACTTTTTTAAAAGTCAAAATTTCAGTATTTCAGTGTACTAAATGTGTTAAGTGGGACAATAAATTTTTTATGTGCAAAATGGTTGGAAGATATTAAGATGAACTGTAGTGGGAAGTTGGAATTAGTATGGTTAAGGCTCTATGGTTTTTTTCCCAAGCTTCTTTTCTTCTTATGATAGAGGCCAGAATCCCCCATGCCACTTTTCCTTGTTTTAATCAGTCAGGATGTCTTCCCCTTCCTCTCCCTCTCTCTCTCTCTCTCTCTCTCTCTCTCTCTCACACACACACACACACACCCTATCATCGTCATCATCATAATGCTCTTAAGTATCCTCCTTCCTTATCTCCTCTCTGCTTTTGCTGTAACTCCAGTTCCTGCTTTTTCATGCAAAGGCAATCCTTCTGTAATTCTCAATCTCTTTTCCTAGTGTTTTTTTTTTCCTACTTCTTGCTTTACTTCATTTATAAACCTCAGGCTCTGGAATATAACTTTGTTTTCTTTCCTTCTTCCCATCATTATTCTTTCATCAATTTCTCCCTTGATTTCTATTCTTTTGAAGTTGTCTTTAGCGGAGCCAGCGTTCTGTGAGTCCTTGCTACTGTCATCTAGTGAACAGCCTCACGGTCACTTCTTCCTCATCGGAGACTTTGGCAGCTGGCTTACTCTTTTCTTCTCCCCCTAAGCTCTTCATGATCACAGCTCATTGATCCACGTGTGTGGAAAAACACCACCAAGTCCGACACTGGCTTTTCAGTTCTTTGACTACCTTATTTCCAGTGAGCTTCACCTCTCATCAGGAATTTAAAGATTTCTTCTCTTTCTTTACTTACAGACCCCTCTACTTTCTCCTAGTGCATCAGGACTCTTCCTTTGTCATTTTATTTATTTTTAAAAATCAGCTTAGATTTCATTACTTGTAATTTCAATGCCATATCATTTCTTCTTATACCTGTGTGATACATCCTGAACTCTTAAGGAAGCAGTTAATGTCTTCTCTGTGCCTTTTCGTGAATGGCTTAACATTGCTAGAGAAAGTCACACAAAAGCAGATTAATTCCACTATAAATTCATTATCACAGATCTTAATTGGGACCTCAATACTGTCTAGCAATTCCTCTAATTTTTAAAATGTTCAGCTACTCTCCTTTTGCACAGCAGTTATTGAAAACCTTATTGGCCAGGCGCGGTGGCTCAAGCCTGTAATCCCAGCACTTTGGGAGGCCGAGGCGGGTGGATCACGAGGTCAAGAGATCGAGACCATCCTGGTCAACATGGTGAAACCCTGTCTCTACTAAAAATACAAAAACATTAGCTGGGCATGGTGGTGCGTGCCTGTAATCCCAGCTACTCAGGAGGCTGAGGCAGGAGAAT